CCACGTGTGCCGCGCTCTGGGCATGGCCTTGGAAAGTCAGGACCGCCACGGCAGCAGAGCAGTGAGTGGAATCAACTTCCCAGTAGAGTATTTAAAAAGTGCTTCATTGAAGAGTTTGAATCTCAGTCACTTTCTAGATTCTGATATCTAGAGTAGCGCCGTCCAATAGAAATATAATACAAGCCACATATGTATGCTGAATTTTCTAGTAGTCGTATTAGCAAATGCATAAAGAAGCGAGTGGAGTTAATTTTAATAGTATATTCTATTTAATCCAATGCATCCAAAATATTATTTCAATCAATAGCAATATCAATATCAATGCTGAATATTTTATATCCCTTTTTTTTTTGTACCGTCTTCAAATTCCCGTGTGTATGTTACACTTACAGTACATCTTACTTCCAACTGGCCACATTTTCAAGTGCCCAACAGCCCCATGTGGCTTGTGGCTACTGTATTGGACGGTGCAGCTCTAGACCAGTACCCAACTCTAGTGTACCTGGAAAAATGTGCCCATGATACTGAGTTGCTAGGAGAGGAAGGCTTATTTCAGGAAAAGGTCATGCAAGTCTTCTGTCGGTACAGCCAGTGCTGACATTCAAGCTGAAAGGGCATAGACACTGTAAAGGCCTCTGGCTTTGCTATTAACTTGTTTCTTTAAAAGCTTGATACTATTCTCTGTTGCAGCTTGTTTCTTACCCTCCCCCCTTCATTTTCAAGGGCCTGGTATTGTCTTCAAATGCATTTCCATTTTTGGAAAGCAGAGTCGTAAAGCATTAATAATGTGGAGATTGTTTAGTCCATTTCATGCATGAGGACGCAAGCCTGCAGCAAGCTGAGTAAACTTGCTTGTTGTTTAACCAATGGCAAAAATGGGATCAGATCCCAAGTCTCCCTAATGTTGAATTATTTGTTGTTTTCACTGTGCTACATGACCTCATTGAAGTAAAATATCACCAGCCAGAACCTAACCATTTTCCCCCCAGATTGTTTACAAGGGGTTATACACGATTGAACTTTCAATTTCTTTTCTGTTCAAGTAGAGCCATCTGGGATCGCTCAAAGTTGGAGAAATCAGTCTATGTACTTCTGCCTTAGTGCCAAAAAAAGAGACGTGCAATATTTATTTATTTTTGAAATAGGGTCTTGCTTTGTTGCCCAGGCTGGAGTGCAGTGGCATGATCACGGCTCACTGGAGCCTCGACCTCCCGAGCTCAAGTGATCCCTCCACCTCAGCCTCTCAAGTAGCTGGGATTACAGGTGTGCACCACCATGCCCAGTGTATTTTTATTTTATTTTATTTTTTAGAGATGGGGTTTTTTTCCACATTGCCCAGGCTGGTCTGGAACTCCTGAGCTCAAGCAATCTGCCTGCCTTGGCCTCCCAAAGTGCTGGGATTACTGATGTGAGCCACTATGCCCAGCCAATAGTTGCAATATTTAGTAAAGCTCTTGTGACTAGTTGAGGCATTAAAAGAAAGCATTATGGAAAAAAAAAAAAGTCTACTGGAAAATAGTTAAAATCTATTGGGGCAATATGTTCAAACTCACAGACCTCCATACTTAACCCAGTATTGATTTCATCCCACTGTTTTCTTTAGTGTCGGCTCATGGATCAGTTTTTTCTTCTTTACAGCTGACCCACCTGTATAGTACACTACTACTGGGCAGTCTGAGACCCATCCAGCCTCGGACGCTGAACCGGTGGGTTCTGAGCACAATGCTTTCAGTGTCCTGTGGTTCTCCAGCTGTTTCATAGCAGCACAGACTCTCCTGAGCTGTAACTGTGAATAGATATCATTTTTTTCTCTTGTGTGACTAAAGGGAAAAAAAGTCTATAACTCATTCATTCATTCATGTATTTTTTCATTCAACAATATTCATGGAGCACCGCCTACTGGGTGCCAGGCCCTGCTCAGAGCCTTGGGAATATAGCAATGAACAAAGAACTCCTACCCTAATACACTAGTGGATGAGACAGAGAGTCAAGGAATAAACAGATGCTTTATTTTATTTTATTTTGTTTTATTTTATTTATTTTTTTGAGATAGAGTCTTGCCGTGTCACCCATGCTGGAGTGCAGTGGTGTGATCTTGGCTCACTATATCCTCTGCCTCCTGGGCTCAAGTGGTCCTCCCACCTCCGCTTCCCAAGTAGCTGAGACTACAGGCACGTGCCACCACGCCTGACTAATTTTTGTATCTTGTAGAGAGGGGTTTTACCACGTTGACCAGGCTGGTCTCAAACTCCTGGGCTCAAGCAATCTGCCCACCTTAGCCTCTCAAAGTGGATGCTGTTATAACCTAATGTCAAAGTAAACGGATAGAAACAAGTACCATTCTGAACAGGATAGACAGGAATGCCTCCTTAGGGAGGTGGCATTTGGAAGTGATCAAACTGAAGGGTCACATTGCATACACATCTCAGGGAAGGGAGTACCAAGCAAAGGGAAGCACAAATGCTAAGGCCTGAAGCTTGCAACAATAAGAACAATTCCAGAAACAGTAAGAGAGGCTGGGCGTGGTGGCTCACACCTGTAATCCCAGCACTTTGGGAGGCCGAAGCAGGTAGATCACCTGAGGTCAGGAGTTGGAGACCAGCCTGG